TTGAATTTATTTATTCTCTCACAATTCTGGAGACCAGAAGTCCAAAAGCAAGGTGTTGGCAGAGCCATGCTCTCTCTGAAGGCTCTGAAGGAGGATTCATCTTCGCCTATTCCTCACTTCTGGTGGTTGCAGGTAACTCTTGGCATTCCTTGGCTTGTAGACACATCACTCTGGTCTCTGCCTCTGTTGCCACTTGGTCTTCTCCCCTGAGTTTCTGTGTCTGTGTTCAATTTCCACTCTTCTTATAGGTACACCAGTCATTGGATTAGAGTCCACTCTAATCCAGTATGACCTCATCTAAACTTGGTTACATCTGCAAAGATCCCATTTCCAAACAAGATCATAGGATTTGAACATTTCTTTTTAGGGGACACAATTCAACCTACAATCTTCATGTTGACAAACTCTTCCTTATTCAACTTTATTACCCCTCCACTTCCCTCAGATCCAGCACATTCAAGATCCATTCCCAGGCATACTTTCCTGCTTCCTGCTGGTAAATATTGGTCAGGTGCTGCTCCTCTGGTTGTAACCTCTCTCTTCCATCGGGAGGCCTAGTGTATGCCCAATCTGGTATTTGGTTCTGATTATTGGTCTGGTGGCCAGAAAGGGAGGTAGGAGCAGATCCTGAAGAGTGCCAGCATTTTCTTGCCAGTCACCTGCTCCATTTGAGGCTTTTGTATTGTTTTCAAGTAAGGGGAGAAGGGGCATCTATCTTCCAACAAGGGGAGTGCCACTTTGCAGGTCCAGAGGGTTCATCCAAGTCTCAGATTTCCTCTCATCCCAAGTTCTCAGGGTCCCATTTCTTATCAGGATCTCAGCTTTGATGTATGAGACCTGCTTAGGCTCAGAATTCCACTTTCTCTGGAGTTCTGCTATTCTTTAATCCAAAGCTTTTGTTTTGGAATAATTTTAGACTTACAGAAAAGTTGCAAAGATAGTACAGAGACTTTCCATATACTCCATACTCAGTTTCCTCTAATGTTAACATCTTACATTACCATGGTACACTTGTCAGAACTAAGATGTCAACATTGGTATATTACTAATTAAACTCCACACTCTATTAAAATTTCATTAGTTTTTCCACTAATGTCATTTTTCCTGTTCCAGGATCCAATCCAGGACACTACATTGCACCTACTCATCAAGACTCTTTAGTCACCTCTGATACATGACAGTTTCTCAGCCTTTTCTTGTTTTTCATGACTTGGACAGTTTTCAGGAATACTGGTTGGGTATTTTGTAGAAGGCCAGCCCTGGTGGTTCAGTGATTAAGATTCAGTGCTCTCACCACCATGGCCTGGGTTCGTTTTCCAGTCATTGAACCACACCACCCATACTGTGGTGACTGCATGTTGCTGTGATGCGGAAAGCTCTGCCACTGGTATTTCAAATACCAGCAGGGTCACTTGTGGTGGACAGGTTTCAGTGAAGCTTACACAATAAGACCGACAAGAAAGAAGGACCTAACCACCCACTTCCAAAAAAATTGGCCATGCAAACCCTATAAGTAGCAGCAGTGCCTTGTGTTATATAGTCCCGGAAGGTGAGAGGATGGTGTGAAAAGACCAGGCAGGGTTCTCCTCTGCTGTACACAGGGTCACTAGGATTGGAATCGACTCAATGGCACTAACACCAACAAATTTTGTAGAATTTTCCTCAGTTTGGGTTTGTCTGATATTTTTCTCATTATTCGTTTAGGGTGTGAGTTTTTAGGACGAATACCACGGAGGCAAACTGCTTTTCTCATCACATCACATCAGGGGGTACAACGCTATCAATGTGACTTATTACTTGTGATGCTAATCTTGACTGCTTGCTTAGGAAGTGTTTGCCAGGTTTCCATAATTTACATATTCTGTTCTTTGGAAGCAAGTCACTAAGTCCAGCCCACACTCCAAGGGGATTCTGCCATTTTTACAGTGACATTTTGTGCTTGATCTTCAGTTCTATCTGCCCTCCAACTGTGGGAGATGAGGATCTCTTTCAGTGGTGACAAGGAAGATGACTCTTGCACTTTTCTTTAAATTGGTAATTGATTACCTGAATCCTATCATTTTCTCTCTTCAGAGCATCAATGGCGTTTAATAACAGCCACTCAACTCCGTGGAGAAATTGCTCTCTCTCCCATACTTCCCAAATACCAGAGATGTTGCATGAACCAGCACATCCCCTTCTACCTGTATCCTGTTCCAGTTCACCACATGGGAAAGTCTTAGCTTTTGCACCGGGTGCCAGGAACTATCAACACTCCACCCACCATCAGTGTTGGAGTCCTCATTGCAAGCTAACTAGTGAGAAATCAAACTCCAAGATCTCCTTCTTAGGCTCTGCTTCCTAGAACTAATATCTTTTAAGGACTCCCCACCTCAGGGGTTCCACCCAAGGAGCAGGGCACAGGACTCCTCAGCTTTTAGACCCTTAGCCTTCTCTCTTCTCACCATCTCTTATCTTTTCCTAGTCTGGCAGTATGTTTTCTTATCCAGGGTTTATTTTGCTCTCTTTCTCCAACTTTCCCCAAATATCTTTACAGTAACCAAATCCTCTATTTACTTCTCAAAACTTGTGCCAGAGCCATGAACTCAATACTTACAGAATGAATCAGGCCACATTGTATTTTTTGACAAAGGCACACTTTGTGTGTTAACACACAGAAACAGTCTCTACTTCCACAAAGAAATACACTGTATCATTCAAAGTTCTTAGTTGCAACAACAGAGGCCACTCTAGCTAAAGTGCAACGAAGTTTAGTAAAGCATGTTAGGAAGCCCAGACTGCTTAGGAGGATCAGATCTGGATGCTCTACCTCCAAGAAAAAGGCAGCAGAGAACATATTATATCATACCGCTACATGCATCATATCGTTTAATCATTAATCAATCCTATGAGATAACTATTATTGTTACCGAACCTGAAGTGAGTTCGCTCACCCTTTGCGCAGCAAGCCAATTTCTGACACCGGGTGTGGTGGAAGAAAGTAGGAATTTTATTTTTGCACAGCACTGAGCAAGGAGAGAGGGCAGCTAATGCTGAAATCCCAAACTCCCCGAAAAGCTAAAAGGAAGTGTTTTTATTTGGGGTTTTAGGTAGGGGAGGGGGAGCATATGGCATTGCTGGTCAGAGCTTTCCCACCAGTCTGTATCTCTTTGTGGGGAGGAGATAATCCAGGTGCTTGTCCTTGACGTGTCTGTCTCCATGGAGGATAGTGGATTCTGGAGCCAGGAAGCCAGAGGCTAAGCAGGGAATGAGTGTTTTGGTTTTAAACTCATGTATGCTGGGTTTAATGTGGGGAAACTGATATCAGGGTCGATATCATTATCATTAGCCCCTTTTAGAAATGGCAATTGTTATGGACTGAATTGTGTTCTCTCCAAGTTCACCTGTTCAAGTCATAATCCTCAGTACCTCAGAATATGGCTATTTGGAGACAGGATCTTTAAAGAGGTAATTAAGTTAAAATAAGGTGATTAGGGTGTGCCCGAATCCAAATGACTGGTGTCTTCACAAGGAGAGGAAATTTGCACACTGAGATGCACAGATGGAAGATGCTGTGAAGACACGGGGAGAAGACTATCATCTACAAGCCCAGGAAAGAAGCCTCGGAAGAAACCAACCTTCCCCACACCATTGGACTTCTGGCCTCCAGAACTGTGAGAAAATAAGTTTCTGCTGTTTAAGCCACCCAGTCTGTGTGTTTTGTTATGGCAGCCCTGGCAAACTAGGACCAGGATATTGTGGCTTAGAGTGGTCAAGTAATTTAGCCAAAGTGATGAAGCTAACACATGGGGGAAACAGCATCAGTTTCTCTCGCTCCAGAGCCTATTCTCTGATTCTCCTCTATCGAGTGGTCCCATGGTGGCTGGGCAAGGGCTTCAAAGAAACAGATACAGAAGACAAAGTAACTCAGGACATGTTGAGACAGAACACAGCCTGGCTGCCAGGAAACACACATGAAAGTGAACCGGAAGACCTGGAGAGCCAGGAGAAAGGCTTCACATCTTGCCCCTACCCTCGACTGGCTGTGTGACCTTGGCCAATCCACTCTTGCTTTCTGAACTACAGTTATATTCTGTGTCAAATGGAAGCGTTAGATTTCCTATGTCTCACTGAGCTGTTCTAACCATCGAATAAGATCGTTGTATGCAAATGTGGGGAGAGGGAGGGGCAGAGGGAAGGAACTGAATTTACTTCATACAAATATTGGTGTAGTTGTTATATATCATCCCTGTTTTAGCTAATACTAATAATGCTGTTATAATAATGTGTCAATATTAAAGCATCAGTTTTCCATGGTATTCAAATTATATGTGTTCTGATGTCAGAAATTCATGGAGACTGCTGGGTCTGCACATTTTAAATAGTCCTATGGTCCAAATAACTCTTAGGCATCCATATAAATGGCAATAAATGACATCAATGTTCAGTCTAATGGAGTGGACTCATTAAATGTTTGCAAAGCTTAATGTAATAGAAATAGCTGGCATATATTGAGTTTTTACATGTGTCACATTCTATTCTAAATGAGCTGAATGTAGTAATTCAATATTACAATCCTAAGAACAACCCCAGGAAGAAGAAACTCTTATTATAATTTCTAGGTTACAGATGAAGAAACTGAAGCCCAGAGAGGTTAAGTAACTAGGCCAAAGTCACACAGTTAAGTAAGTGGAAGCCTAAACATTCAAACTAAGGCACCTGTCTTCTGGATTGGACACAGAAAATGGCAAGATAACACTACCTACCTCATGGGGTTGTTATGAGATTGAAATAACTTAATGCCTATAAAAGTATAAAACAATATCCAGAATATCAGTAATTTTAGCCGTTATAATTTATTTTAATAAGGATGTTGATGATAATCACAACTTTAAAAAATCCAGGCTGCATCCTACTTTCCCTCTTTCTTTCTTGCCACACTTTTTCTTTTTGCCTAGTATGCTTTTTTTTCTCTCTCTAATCCTTGCCTTTCTTCTCTGCCCATTCTTTTTCTCCTGTAGAAAAATTGATGGGACCAATGAGGAAGCAGATAATATTGAGCTGAATGAAGAAGGAAGGTCAGTGCAGAGGTCCAGGCAGAGCCCTCCACTCTGTGACTGCCACTGCTGTGGTGTCCCCAAGCGTTACATCATTGCCATCATGAGTGGGCTGGGATTCTGCATTTCCTTTGGGATTCGCTGCAATCTTGGAGTTGCCATCGTGGAAATGGTCAACAACAGCACTGTATATGTTGATGGAAAACCGGAAATTCAGGTCAGTGTCAGTCTAGGGTGGGAAGTCTTTTGGCCATAGCTGTGCAAATACTTTGTTATGTGAAACAAAGCACTGTGCCTCGTTCATTAATGTGACAAAAATGTAGAGTGGCTACCACATGCCAGGCGCTGTGCAAGGTGATGGGAATAGAAGGGTGCACAATACGGGCTGGGCCTTTGTTTTCACAGAGATGTACAAGCAAGCAATTACAATTCAGGGTTGCAGGTGCTATGTTGGGGTGCCATGTATGTCAGAATGCTTGGGGCCATAGAGGAGGGGGCCTAGCCTGGACTTTGATATCATGAAAGAATTCCCAGAGAAAGTGATGGCTGGACCTGAAGGATGAGGAGGAATCTGATAAACAAAGAGGGTTTTGGTGGGGTGGAAAGAAGAGTGTTTGAAGAAAAAGGGAGACAGAGAGTGAGAAAGAGGGAGAGAGCATGGTGTGTTTAGAATTGAGTTCTTCATCTTTTCTGTGTCATGGACCCTTTGGCAGCCTGGTGAATTACAAACCTTTTGTCAAAATAATGTTTTAGATTTTTAAAATAAGATACATAGAATTATAAAGGAAATCAATTACATTAAAATACACATATAAAAATATTTAAAAATCAAATTTTTATAGGATTTGATTACATACAGAAACATATGGGCTTCTTTATGAACACATTAGTTGACAAAATCTAGCCATGGGTCTAAAAATTACCGTAATTTTGAAGTTTGAAGTATACACCATAGCTTGAGATAGTAGCAACAACTGTCATATGATATGAACATATTTATCACTTCTGCTAGTGATAGAGTCACAGGTACTGGTAATATTACTGTGGTTTGTTGCCTACATTCAGATTTACGGAAAATGCTAAATTTCAGTTAGCAGTTAGTGAAAATAAAGATGCTGATTTTTTCCAGCAAAGCTCACAGACCCAGAGAATTCCATGGACAGACCCCAGGTTGAGAACCCCTGGTAAGAGGGTAGAGTGCGAGGGTGAGCATTAGAAGGAGGCAGCAGTTGGGGCCGGCCCTGGGGCCGAGTGGTTGAGTTCACGCGCACTGCTTCGGTGGCCCAGGGTTTTGCCAGTTTGGATCCTGGGTGCGGACATGACACCGCTCGTCAAGCCATGCTGAGGCGGCATCCCACATGCCACAACTAGAAGGACCCACAACTAAAAATATACAACTGTGTACGGACGGGCTTTGGGGAGAAAAAGGAAAAACAAAATCTTTGAAAAAAAAAGAAGAAGGAGGCAGCAATGTAAAGGTCAGGTTGGGGAAAGCCTGGTAAACCGTGTGGGGAGTCAAGGATGGGCTTTAAGCAGAGAGGCTGTATGATCAAATCTGTGCTCCAGAACTATCACTGTCCAGCCAGTGATCGCCCAATGGATTGGGATTGAAGTGAGAGGAAGCAGCAGGCCCAGTTCAAGGGCTGTTGTCATCATAAGCAAACAAACTCCCATGTGACTTAAATAATACTATTTCCGTGAATCATTGGAGAGACAAAATCTGGTTTGTTTCTTAAATGGTAAGCCTAGAGAAGTATTGAGGTTATGAGAGAAGAAACAAAAGTGTATCCCCTATGGATAGCCAATAAATACATGTTTCATTGAATTGAACACATACACTGAGATGACTCTGGAAATCTATCCATTTGTAGAGAGGCGTCTAATAGTTTTCTGGTCCCTACCCATACTGGAAGAAAGATTTAGATCAGAGTTCCCCAAACTGGTGCCTGGCAAGTCACTGTTCTGTAGGCTGAGCTAAGAAGAAGGTATTGTGTAAAATGGGAGCCTTTCCTGTGCTGGGTCCTATAAGAACCCCAAAGACGGGGCTGTGGTATGCAGTATTTCCTGGACTTGATTGCAGAGCACTTCCTTTCACACCATTACCTGGGACACTTCCTGCCAAGCACTGGTTTGGGAAAATTTGATTTCAATCCATTTAAAAGAAGGTTTTAGTTGGCCTGCAGGCATTTTTTTTTTTTTTAGCTAGAGATGATTCTGCCAAGGAGAAGAGCACCATGGAGATTCTTCTAACTAATCTCTTTTTGATGCCAAGCTGAATCTGCTCTAAAAAGATATTCTGGTTGTTTATTTTTGGGAGGAGGAGGAAGGGCCGGAGAGGTGTGTGGGGGGCATGTCATACATTTTTTAAATAAAGAATGATGTATATTAGCGAGGTTTCAGATGGGTATCACATGCATTCTCCCAGCCTTTTGTGAGCAAGGCCAGCTAATTAAAATTTGTCTGCTGAGGCCCAGAGCAAAATGAGATGCTGGTTTGTATTTGTTTGTTGCCTGAAAAGACAGGCCTAGGTCAATAAAGTCTGCTTTGAGGCATATGGAAAAGACATTTTGATAAACCTAAGGAACAATGCGGTGTGTGCGCTCTAGTTTCTATGGTTTTGCCCTCTGGCATCTTCGAGAAACTGATTAAGATCTAAAATACACTTTACATCATTTTCTCTGGCCTCAAAAGTAGGAGTTTAGTAGCATTTCAGAAGCTCTAGCACAATTCCAATTTACAGCAGGCCATTTCTCATCCAAATAGAACAAATCTGAGATATACACTGGACGTGTTCAACCTGATGACAAAGATTCCACTAATTGTATTAAGAAAGGCTCTGAATGGCTGGTATTTTTGTTTGTTTGATTTTTCGTCTAATGGGATAAAAACTAGATATTTTGCACTGAGATTTTTTGAAGAAGAAGAAGATTAGCCCTGAGCTAACATCTGCCACCAATCCTCATCTTTTTGCTGAGGAAGATTGGCCTTGAGCTAACATCTGTGCCCATGTTCCCCTACTTTATATGTGGGACACCTGCTCCAACACAGCTTGATAAGTGGTGTGTAGGTCTGCCCCCAGGATCTGACCTGGTGAGCGCTTGGCTGCCAAAGCAGAGCCCACAAACTTAACTGCTACACCACCAGGTTGGCCCCATGCACTGCAATATTTTTAAATCCTCATTGTCAAATGAGGGAGAGAAGTAAGCAGTATGCATAGGTAGGTCTTGCAACTATGGGGCATATATTCTTCTAGTAAACTACTATGAAGGGTAGTTTTAGCTGATGTGTAAATAATCATTTTTCTTTTAATAGTTGTGAGTATTAAAACATGTGAAGCACTTAGAACAGTGTCTGGCTATGGTGAGCAATAAATGACTGAAGTTTGAGAAACTTTGTGATTATTTCCCATGACCCTCAGGAAAAGTCCCAACTCCTTCCCATGAATCATGAACCCTGTAGGGCTAGTAGGATGGGATTGGGAATTGGCCAGACCTAGTTTCAAACTCGACTCTGTTGTTTATTAGCTCTGGGACCTTGAGCAAGCTGCCCTTGTGTCCTGGTCAGGGTTTGCTGGCTGCAAAGAATAGAAACGCAGTGAAACCAGCTCCAGTTAAAAAGGGAATTATAGTAGGGCGGTAAGGGATCTCATGATAGTGAAGGGCAGAAAGCAGCTCCGCTGTGTATGTTTGTGCAGCCTGTGCCCCAGACAGGGCGACCCAGCCTGAGGTGGGACTGAGATCCAGGCTGGACTCCACCGTGGGGAGGAAAAGAGTCTCTATGTAATTCTTTCCAAGGCGTGAACAGAGGCCCTGTCGGGAAGCACCGATTGGAGCTGGACCTCAGGGGAACTAGGAAATTCTTAGCGAAGGTCTCCAGCTTGCTTGCTCTGCAGGGTCTCTGACCTGCTTCTCTCTGAGTCTGCTCCATTTTCCCGGGTCTCTCCATGGACTGGTTTCTTTCCTTTTCCATGGCTCCTCACTGCCTTCCAAAGCTGCAGTTCCTGGAGCCTTTGCCTTGCCAGGGAGCTGACTCACTCGGCCTTGACTCCAGTGGGACTTGTTTCACTTCAAGTGCCCAGTACCATCCAACTAGAATCTCTGGGTTCAGATTGCAGAGAGAGAGACAGAGACGGACAGAGACGGACAGAGGCAAAGACAGAGAGACAGAGCGAGCCTATGGCTTGACTCTCCCTATTCAGGTGTCCAGTCAGCCGTGATAGTCACCAGCGGAGAGTCCCATGGCGCTGGGACACGGGTGGGGAAATGCTCTTAGAAGGAAATGTGAGTAGGGAGGCAGGAACTGGCATTCCCAGCGATTCTTTGCTAACCCTTATTGTGAAATGGGACTGAAAGGACTGCTTTGCAGGTCAAATGAGGTAATTTGATACTAATAAAGTAACTATATTAGTTTCTTAGAGTTGCCATAGCAAATTACCACAAATGTGGTAGTTTAAAAAAACAGAAATTTATTCTCACACGGTTGTGGAGACCAGAAGAAGTCTGAAATCAAGGTGTTAGCAGGGCCACAGTCCTCGGAGAATCCTTCCTTGCCTGTTCCAGCTTCTGGTGTCTCCAGGCATTGCTTGGCTTGTGGCTGCATAACTCCAACCTCAGCCTCCATCTTTACTTGGTTTTCTCCTCTTCTGTCTCAAATCTCCCTCTGCCTTTCGAAGGACACTTGTCATTGGATTTAGGGCCCAGATGGATAATCCAGGATGACTCGTCTCAAGATCTTTGACTTCATCACATCAGAAAAGACCTTTATCCCAAATAAGGCAGCATTGATAGGCTCCAGGGATTTAGGGTGTATATCTTTTGGGGGGCCATTTTTCAGCCTAACGCAGTACCTGACACAGTGCTTGGCTTATGTTAATGGTTCATTCATGGGGCCACTATGATGCTAATGGGACTCAAGTGATGACGAGAGTCAGTTCTCAGCAGGCCCAAGTGCTCTTCTTCATGGATCATTTCCTTCAGAGAAAGGGCAAAAGCACCATCCCCTCAGAGAGAAAGGCATGAAGAAGGGACCACGTGACTGACAATTAGCCACTGGATGAAGTGGACCCCTCTGCCCTGGATCCTTGATTCTGTGGGTCATTCTGTGACTTAAGGCAAAAAAGTCTAATCTCTGCTTCTTGGTGAGAAAGCCAAGTCTCTATAGGCAGTGGAAAGAATATTGTGTTTTGGGTCAGGCGGATGAGAAGTCTTGATCTCAGCTCTTCTTGCAACTTGTTGTATGACCTTGAGAAAGAAAGTTAATCTCTCTAAGCCTCAATTTCCTCATGTACAAAAATAAAAGCTAATAATAATTACCTCTAGATGTTGTAAGGATTAAAGGAGGAAATATATGGAAAGGGCCTTAATGAAATCATGTTCCTCTTCTGCTCAAAGCTTCCAATGGTTTCCATCTCTCTTAGAGTAAAAGCCAAGGTCCTTAGGATGACTTAAAGGGCCCTTCACCATTTGAACCACTCACTTTAACTTCTATTCTGCTCTCCCTCACTCATTACCCTCCAGCTATACTGGCATCCTGCTGTTCCTCTAACACGCAAGATACATCCCTACCTCAGGGCCTTTGCACTTACTATTTTTCTGCCTGGAAAGCTCTCCTCTTAGATGATGACATGACTCACTCCCGTCCTTCCTTTAGGGCTTAACTCTAAAATCACCTCCTCAGTGAAGCCTGTCCTGACCATTCTATCTAAAATTGGGCCCCACCTCATCCTACGCAATATTTCCTGTCCCATTCTCTGCTTTCCTTTTTCTCCTCATCACTGACCACCCTCTAACACAGTATATGTTTGTGTATCATCTGTTGTCCCTTCTGGCATCTTCATGAAGACAGGAATTACTGTCGTTGTTCACTGCTGTATCCCCAGTGCCTAGAACAATACATGGCACATAATAGGCACAAAATTAAAATTTGGTGAGCTGATTTGAGTTAATGACTGTTAGCTCCTGTTTACTCATGAGCTTCAGTTTCCTAACCTGCAACATGGGAACTACAGTACAGAGTACAGGCCAACGTTCCCTGGACCATGATCCGCTGGAAGGCCTGAATTCGTATTTACACCACCTAGCACCTGATGTGGCATGCAGGAGGAACCAGGTGAATGTTGAATAAATGAGCAAATAAACATGTAACAGTTTGTGACTGGAAAATAAACCATGTTGACAGTTTATAAGATATAGCATGTTGACAGAGACTTTACTCCATAATAGGAAAGCCTTGCATTTTATATCAATGCTTTACATAGCCATTTCTTGGGCAAATATTTACTTGTCCTTTCCATGTGCTAGGCATTGATTTTAGGTACTGAGTCTATAAAGTCACACGGGTCATGGCTGCTAACTTAGAGTCGCTCGCTGTCCCGGGTTGGAAATGGACACGTGAACGGCTAGTTTGAGAGCAGCACAGTGTGGGTGCCAGGGCTGTAAGAACAGAGGTCTGTGGGACAAGTGCAGGAAAAAGTGTCACTTCAATTTGGGGGAGCTGGGGAGCTTCCTCAGAGGAAGGGACATTTGCCAGGAGTTGTGATTTTCTTTGCCTGGAGAAGAAACTGAGGAAAGGGACTCCAGCCCTAGAGAATCGTATTTTCAATGGCCTGAGTTATGGATCGGTATTTTGTTGCCCTTGTCATCATCTTAACACCACCAATGGCTGCTAACGTTTATCGAGTCTATACTATGTTCCGGGCGCTATCCTAACGTGTTAAACGCAAAATCCCTAAGCGGAGGAATCACCTTCCAGAAATATTCACGCCATTTTTCCCCACACATCCTATGGGTAGGTAGAATAGATTTATTATCCTCATTAAGAAATGAGAGAGTGAAGACTTATTCCCTTTGTGCTCACACTGAGTGGTTTCTGAATAAACTAACATGTTAAATAACCTAGTAAAGCTATAACTTATTTTCTGTTTTCTTCACAAGTTGTTTTATTTTCTTCTTAGCACTGACCACTACACACACACACATGTATATACCATATATATATATATTCGGTTATATACATATTTTTATATGTATATTTTATTTGTTGTGTATATATATATATATATTTTTTAATTTATGCATAATCTCTTCTTTCTCTCACTAGAAGGCGAGCTCCACGAGAGCAGAGACCTTGTCCTGTTCACTGCTAGATCCCAAGCACACAACAGGCCCTCCTTAAATACTTGTTGAATAAAGGAAGAGACGAAGGACCTCGTGGGGTTATTATGTAGGATCATCAGTGAAAAACGGCAGTCAGGTGTTTTCTTACAAACATGACTGTATCTGATTTCTCATTTCCAGACAGCACAGTTTAACTGGGATCCAGAGACGGTGGGCCTTATCCACGGATCTTTCTTCTGGGGTTATATTGTGACACAAATCCCAGGTGGATTCATTTCAAACAAGTTTGCTGCTAACAGGTAAGATAAACTGATACAGCATGAGTGCTGCCCGGATCATCACATGGCTTTGTACTTTTACCAAATCTGCGTAGTTGGCATCCAATTTAGGAGTGTGGGATGAAAGACAGGAGCCATTCTGACAGATGTGATTCACAGATATTGATCCCAAACGATCCTGTTCTTAAGATTCTCCTTTTATTTACTTTTTTGTCCAATCTAATTTAACTTGTAACTCTTTAAGGGATTGTGTAGTAAAAAGAGCAACTGACTCTGAGTCGGGAGAAACGGTTCCTGGACCCTAAGTAACTCACTGGACGACCTCGACTGAGTCACTTTCCTGCCCTCTCTGGGCCTCAGTTTCCTTATTTGTGAAATGAAGCATTGGGTTAGATTGTGCTGAGTTCCCTTTGGCCGGTGACTTTCTGTGATCCTATGTGTTGTGTTAATATCACCCAGTACCATACAGGTTTTGTCACGTGAGTGGTAGGGACTTCCTTCTAGATTGCAAGATGTCTTTGACGCCCTTGAGATTCTATAGTAGGTGTTTGAGCAATTAAAAGTGTCAAGAACAGAAGGAGCTGCCTCAAGAAGCAGTGAGTTCTCTGTCACTAGAGGTATTCAACCAGAAAAGGATGGCCACGTAGAGGAGATGTAGAGTGTAAATGTACCAGAAAAGGAGTGTCCAAATAGCTCCAGGTCTCTTCCAATTCTATATCCTGTGTTCCTTTGCATATATGGAATTTGTGAAGTGTACATTTTATAAAGCAGTGTTTTTCAAACTCTAAACTACAGCTCATTAGATTCTTGTGAAATCAATATAATGATTTACTAATGAGCATTTTCTAAAGAAAGAGAGAGAGGAATAGAAGAGAATCAAATAGAATAGAAAATATCTTAGTTCATAGCACATTTAAGGGTAAATATTGGTTTGATTACACTTGTGTGTATAAGAATGTATTGGATTGCACTATAAAATATATTGTGTTCTATGGGTCAAGGTCAAAAAAGTTTGAAAGCAATTACCATAAAATCTAAATATGTATAAGCATGACTATATTTACTTATATCCTTGTCTAATTTGTGTCCTTTATTTATTGTTACTTACCTATTGTATTCTTTTTACACAGATGATAAAATATTGGCTCATATGGTCTCCAGGGTACTGCTTACACCTCTGCCCTAAAAAGAAATTACACATAATATGATTTTCTAGCATGTAAAAGGGCTGAAGCATCATCAACATGTATGAGAAAGGAAGAAAATGCTGCCTGCTCTCTTTTCCCAGGACACTCTGGTCCAAGCAGGCAGGAGAAGGCCAGTGGCACTGGGCAGAGAGTTGGGGGCTAAGACAGGTCCACAGCTTGTCTGATGCTTGACTGGTCCCAGGACACAGCGTGCTTCTCAGATAGACAGTATCCCTTTCTGGTAAAGTGAGAGCAGAGTTGGGAAGGAGGAGATACAACCCCAATGTGCAGAAGTCATGAGATAACAGAATTGGTCAGTTGGGTGGAAACAAGCAGAAGGGTGGGTCTCCAGCAAGCTCACCTCATGTTAGTCAATCTCCAGCTTCAGGACCTCATAGGCAGGCAGGACATCCCTGTACTTCCAAAAACCTGCCCACAATTGGTCCAGGGACTGGAGCTCAGGAATCAAAGCATCCCAACGGTCTAGCTTGGGACACACCAGACACTAACATAGCATCTGTTTCTCTGAATTTATTTCTATTAATTTCCACAGTGATCTTCCATGAACTGTTAGGTTCATTTCTGATGAAACGAGCTGAGATATCACATCCGTCAGCATGCCTGCCCAATAACACAGTGTTTTGGTCCCTCAGGGTCTTTGGAGCTGCCATCTTCTTAACATCGACTTTGAACATGTTCATTCCTTCTGCAGCCAGAGTGCATTACGGCTGTGTCATGTGCGTCAGAATTTTGCAAGGTCTAGTGGAGGTAGGAGATACTTTTCTTACGGTTTTCGATATTGCTGGAGACAACACGGTTTTTTAGAAAATTCGACTTCTGAAGAAAACCCCCTTCACTCAGTTTTCCTATCTTCCATCTTGTCCTTCTATCTCAGCTCTGGTTATGCTACAATTATGAATACCTTAATTAAAATGCTTGTGTGATTCCAAATTTACACACAATAAAGGATCATTTCATATAAGCACAGAATTTCAGATGAGCCAAGAATGATCTTAGACATAATCTAATCTGACACCTTTCATTTAAAAAATGATGAAACTGAAGCCCCAAACCTATAGTTCACATAGCAAGGGCTCTTTCTGCTAAAACAATGTAAATGGATGTATTAGTATATCTGTAAATTTCCTAGGTGTATTCTTACACAGAGATTTAACTCATTGAAGGGGGCAGCATGATATAGACTCAGAAGGTAAATATTTTGGACTTTGCTGGCCACATGGCCTCTGTTGCAACTACTCAACTCTGCCGTTGTAGTGGGAAGGCAGTCAGAGACAGTATGTAAACAAATGGATGTGGCTGTGCTCCCGTAAAACATTTTGAACACGGAAATTTGAATTTTATGTGACTTTTACATTCCAAGAAATATTCTTCTTCTTTGAAAATTTTTTCCTCACTTAAAAATATAAAAATCGTTCTTAGCTTAAGGGCTGTACAAAAATAGATGGTGGGCCAAATCAGGCCATAGTTTGCCAACCCCTGGTGTAGAGCCATGTTTCCCAAACTCAGTCATTCACCTCTAACCTTCAGCACTTTTGTCATATCCGGGTACAATTTCTACTATTATTTACCTATGGCTTTTCCCCAGATCAACTCACTTAAAAGCAAAAAACAAAAAAACTTCACCCTAAGCAATATCTTTGAAATCATGGGTTTGATGTGCTAGCTACATTTTTTCTAAAGCATATTAGAATACATATGTAACAATTAAAATTAAAAATCTATGTTGTTGTAGCACCTCAAATCCAACTCTAATCCCACTAAAGGGACATATATCACACTTCGGAAAAATACTGATGTGATAGAAAGAACATGCTATTAGCAGCCATGCGGACTATGGTCTAGTCACTCAATGGCTCTGAGGCTGAGGTTCTGTATCTTGAAATGAGAGGCTAGATCAGCTGATTGTGGAAGTCCCTTTCTACATTGATATTCTACAATAATATGAAATATAAAGACCCTCTTCCCTATTCCCTACCATGCTTACATTGGAACTGATATTTGAATCTCAGCATCTGTGCTGCAAGTCAAAACTGCTGACACATGCTATTTAGTATTATGATTTGAGCTTTTGTATTGTAGCCTGTCTTAAAGAAGCAGGATCTTTTTTTTTTTTTTTTTGGTGTGGAAGATTTGCCCTGAGCTAACATCTGTGCCAGTCTTCCTCTGTTATGTATGTGCAGTGCCTCCACAGCATGGCTGATGAGTGGAGTAGGTCCACACCCGGGATCCAACCCCATGAACTTGGGCCACCATAGTGGAGCACATGGAACTTTGACAATTTGGCCACAGAACGGGCCCCAGCAGGATCCATGTTTTAAACACAAACAGAAACTAAAATCAAATCAGATCATCTATTTTCAACCCTTTACCAGGGTGTGACCTACCCAGCCTGCCATGGAATGTGGAGTAAGTGGGCACCACCTTTGGAGAGAAGTCGACTGGCCACAACCTCTTTTTGTGGTAAGTGTACTAGAAGCTTCAGTTAGGAATGCTTTTCGATTCAAGTAACTGAAAATCCTACTAAATAGACTCAATTTTTCCCCCGTAACAGAAGTTCAAAGATGAGTGCTTGCTGGAGTTGGTTCTGCTGCTCAATGATCCACCCAGGGTCTACACATGTTCTGACTTCCTACTCTGCTGTCCTTAGAGTGATAGCTTTTTACTCTCTTGCTTTTTCCTCATGTTCACAAGATGGCTGTCATAGCTCCAGTCATCAAGTTCACATTCAAGGCAGAAAGAAGTGGGGATAGGTATCCTACCCACATCTGTTCTTTTCATCAGGAAAGCAAAAGCTTTCCCAAAACCCTCTAGCAGCCTTCCACTTATGTTTCTTTGGCCCTAATTGTGTCATATGCTTTCCTAAGTGCAGAAGAGGTTAGGAAAGCAAGTGCCTAGGGTTTCCAGCATCTTTAGTAGAGAAAGGTAAGAAAGAAAGGATTGGAAGTGCTTGTTGGATCAGCCAACAAATGATATTTGCCAAGGTCAAAAGTGGAAGAGATAGAATCATCAAGTCCCCCACTCTTTTTTACAGATGGGGAAACTGAAACTAAAGTTTAATGTTTAGTTTCACTGAAATGAAACTAAAGTCCAATGACTTGCTCAAGATCAAAACTACTAAGTCATGGGCCTGAAGCTAGACCACCTAATTCTTGATTCAAATTTTCCTCTCTACACACTACCATGTACACATTGTCATAGAGACTTTTAATTAATTTTTGCCATTATATTCCAGATAAAAACAAGATGGAGACCATCCATCTTAACTGAAAGTGAGCTAGCGGTGCCTAAGTAGTGATGCGACTTTAATTCCTGGGTCTCCAAACGTCACCTTGCTAAGTTTGCCTCACTCCAAGCTATTCTTATGGGACTGCCCCCTCTCTGTATCTCTGGGAGTAATCGGCATTCTGAAGAGTCTACCTAGGTAACAGTCAGCAATAGCATGGGCACGCGTACTGCTGCTGTCAGCACAGTTGTAAAATCTATCTTCAAATATTTTTTTATGGGGGATGGAGCCTAGGAAGACTAAAGTGCCTTAGGCCACAAAAGTCACAGTGGGGCCCAGACAGAGTTAGCATCGGCACTTAGGTCTGTCTGATTTTTCAAGCTGGCACGTCTTTCCTAAGAGAAGGTCACCTGTACTCCTTATTGGCTTCCTCTTTATTTCTGTGAATATTTTTATTTATTTCTTCCTCTCTCTTTCTCTTCACCTTCTTTAAGTACTACTGCTACTACTAGTAACAATAATAATGAAAACGAATCCCTGGGAATTTGGTGTGAAATATTCACCAGTGCGTCTATTTTGTGCCTAGTTTGGAATTGGATGCTCAGCTGAGATGTCTGTACATCTTTAGTTTTTCTTGTCCTCAGAAACCGTTTCTGTCCTCTTGTTTGCAGTTCAAGATCATCTCCACCCCAGTACTGACCTTATACCAACTCTAGAAGAATGTAAGATTCTGCCCCAGCTGACCTTGAGAATTGTCAGATCCTTGACCTTATTTTCTTTGGATGGTTTATTTATAAGCCCTTTCATTTTGATTTGCCAGCAAAACAAGAATGACTAGCAGCCACTCCCCATTCTTAGTATCTTTATAGCCCGAAAAGGGCTGATTTAAGAAATGGTTTGACTCTCAAGGAAAGTTACCTGATCAAGGTCACAGGGTTTATTACATTTCCCTGCTAAGGTGTGGCCTTGGTTTCAAAGATCAGCAAAGAGAAAATGTCATTAGAAGAATTGCCAGGCTTGGGTATTATCAGTGCTCACACTCAAAACGTATTGGAGTCGGAAGAGACTTTAGAAAACATCTAGTCACATCCATTGTTTTATAGTGGTGAAAACGGAGGCTCAGGGAGGAAAAAAAGATATAATTTCTCACAGCTAGTGAGGACAGAACTGGGGACTCTTTGCCACCCCCAATTCAGCTATTCACCCGCTCCAGGCTGTTTAACAAACATTGGAGGGCTTCCTCTGCCCTCATGGTAAGCACACAGGGGTCAGGGCGCAGTCTGTTCCCCGGGGCGACACCCATTGGGGTGCACTCAGGAGCTGTGAGTGTGATGGGAGATTGTGTTCCAGCCATGTCTGGAAGGATGAGGGAGACTTTGTCTCATAGACAGGGAAGAAGAACGGTTTAGGTCAAGATGTGAAGTTTCCTCGACAAAAGAATGCTTCTTACTGCGAGGAATTATTGGGCACTGCTGAGGGGAGGAGGCAGGACTGAGTTATTAAATATTTAAAGATAAAGGCTTTGGATTCTTACAGACCTGGGTTCGTGTCACTCAAATCTGTGTGGCCTCAGGCAATTTACCTCCCCTACCCCAGCCTTGGTTTCCTCCTTCTGAAATGGGGATGATATTGGTACCGAAGTCATCGGGTTGTAAAGAAAGTTAAATAAGATCACGAGTCCAGAATATTCAGCATGGTATTCGGCGCATGGGAAGCACTCAATGCATCTTGGTTGTTGCTGCTTATTCCCTGACCCTCCCTGTCCTGGGCTTTTTTTTTTATCTCCTAAAGTGGAGCCACCCACACCTCACTCCCAGGGTATTTGGCCCTGGACAAAGACCACCTACTCTACACCGACAGTGGAGTCAGGCCTATAGCTCTTTCTAAAGGATATGCTCCAGAATGCTTGCCTTATAGGTTTGAGGAATTCTGAGGTAAGAAAAAAAATTGTGCTGTCATTCTGCATGTGACAGTAGTGGTAACAGTTGGCATTTGTATGGCACTAATTAGAGCTTACACAGTATCTTCACATGCAGAGTTTATTTGCTCCTCAAAACAACTCTGGGAGATAGAGATTTATTCCCTTCCTCTCTCTGAGGAGGATGATTCAGAGAGATTGAGAGGCTTCCTCAGGTGTCGTGATGTTCAGATTTGGGATTCCAGGTTGGGCCTTTCCTAGCCAGTCAGGCCCAGCTTGAAAAGATGGGGTTAATCTCCTTCTCTGGAAGATCCCCAAGCTCTCATTTCCTGAAGGTCCTCCTCAGCATTGGATTCTGGGATACAGAATTTCCTTTGCTGCTCACTTTTTCTGAAGCAAGGGTTTTTTCATTCACAACCCAGAGGGAATTTCAGATAGTCATGTTTTGATTCGGTTAATATTTGTTGGGAGTTCGCAGGGCTTGTGTTTCTCCAGCAGATTTCATGGAGCTGTAGCAGATAGTGGAGGCCAGGTCACTGCCTCTAGCCCTCATTATCTTGTCTAGACAAGATAAACATCCACAGGTAGGTAAGTATTTACAAGGTTAAGTATTTACAAAGTAAGAAATAAGCTTCAGAATGTACCCATTCAGGAGGTTGGTGGAGACAGAAGCCATCCTGGTCATCCTGCCATCCTGGAATTAAACTATTACCTGATTAAAAGAAAAAATGAAGACTAAAAAAGCATGATCCTTTTACTAGTTTGAAGCCCCTCACTTAAAGACCTGGGTGATACTCCTTCTGAACCATGAGCTCTGAAAGAATTCACTTGCTGTCTTTAGCACCCAATATTGTGCCTGGTTGAATTTTTCAGATTTCTCTTAGATTTTTCTCATGTTTTTATTCTATCCTCTCACGTAATTCCAAATTGCTGTGCCTGAGCGATCTTTATCTAATGCTCCCATGGCACCTGGATGATGTTAAAGGACATCCTGGTGACCTTTCTCTTCTGGAAGCCCTGTGTTAAGGAATACTGGGTGTTTGCCTGTCCATTCTGCACAGAAGCATTCTGACTCCTGCTCAGTTTGATTCATCCTCGGCTGCATGAACTCTAAATGGGAGGAAAGGCCTTATGACCTTTGTTAAGTTTCCCTCAACCTTGTCTTGTTCTAGGTTCCTATGCGGGAGCAGTGATTGCCATGCCCCTGGCTGGGGTGTTGGTACAGTACATTGGATGGGCCTCTGTCTTCTACATTTATGGTGAGTGATTTGACTTTCTGAGTTCCCATGGTTGACTCGCAGAGATGGTATTTTACTGTATAATGGGGTTGGCTAAGAGTTTACCATATGAAAATAGATATTAATAAGACAAGTTTATCAGATAAATGGAATACTTGTCTACCTAGGATTCATTTAACGTTTATATTAAAGTAGAGTTTCTTAATGAGCAGAACATTAGCTTTCTTTAAATACCGGTTAATAACAACAAGGAAATGAACAAAACACTTTTCTCTTAGCTGAACATAGTGCCGTTTGAGAATATTTTGAAAACTGAAAAATTTAGAGATGGGAGAAAAGGAGACCATATCATCAAGTCTTTTGTTTTTTAACTGCAGGTATGTTTGGGATTATTTGGTACGTGTTTTGGCTGTTGCAGGCCTATGAGTGTCCTGGAGCTCACCCAACAATATCCCACGAGGAGAGGACCTACATAGAGACAAGTATAGGAGAAGGCGCCAACTTTGTTAGTCTGAGTGTAAGTACAGACGGATAGATGAAGACTTGCCTCTTCCTTGCGAGAATTTCTCTCAGTGATTGTGTTGTCCTCTTAAGAAAAATAACATATCAATTTATTCACTAAAAATCTCATGGTATTTTTACTCTCTAGAAATTTAATACACCGTGGAAAAGATTTTTCACATCATTGCCGGTTTATGCAATCATTGTGGCAAATTTTTGCAGAAGCTGGACCTTTTATTTGCTGTTAATAAGTCAGCCTGCTTATTTTGAAGAGGTCTTTGGATTTGCAATAAGTAAGGTAAATACATAGATGCTTCAAATGTTCTTGAACTTTAAATCTCTTGCTTCTACTGAGAAAATCTTTGCATGATACAGTAATTAAATTGCTGATCCTAATTCGTAACAGTTCTGTGACATCTAATACCCTGGAGATCAGACAATTTACACAGTCTGTGCATAGTATACATAGCTATTTAGTTTCTACTTAGAAAAGATCAGAGCTGTATTAAGCTGCTTTTAAAGATTTATGTTCTACCTGATGGCAAAGTGTTTTTGAAGCTAACCCAAGGGCTGCACGTTACGCAAGGATAAAAAGACAACAAGATTTGAGGGTGAGACTTTTTTCCCTCTTATAAATGACATAGTGAGTTTCAGTTAGAACCTTAAAGCTCATTTTACAGATGACCCTTCTCTCCATAATGGTGGTTGTACTAATAACGACCATTGCTTCGTATGGTCGAGAAAGAACTTTTTTCAGTGTCCCCAGCCATTGTCATTAGGTTGTCTGTGTTTCGGGGAGAAAGAGTGTGGATGGTTCTCATTTTTTTATTCCGTTCTCTTGTGTAATTCCAAATTACTGTGCCTGAGCAAACTTGTCTAATCTCCCCACGGTACCTAGATGAAGTTAAAGGGCATCCTGGTGACATTTCTCTTGTGGAAGCCCTGTTTTAAGGTACACTGGGAGTTTGCCTGTCCAATCATGAAATAGTTAGGCCTCCTTCCTACAAGGGAAAGAACAGCAGCCTAGTAGAGGTAGATGTTTGCACAGGTCCTGTCGGAAGTCACCATGGACGAGCTAGTAGGGGCAAGTAACAGTGGCCGCCATCAATGAACACTCACTCTGTGGCAAGTGTAACCACCACGTGCCAGGCACTGTGTTGGTGCAGGGGCCTCTGTGATGAGTAAAAGTCATCTCTGTCCTCAAGGAGTTTCCAATCTGGTGGAGGAGACAGGTCACTACTTAAAATCATTCACTCATTCATTTTTCACTTATTACAAAATTCAGGCCTACCTGGGTCCTACATAATTAGGTTATTAAATTTGGTGGTGGGGGGGGGGGTGGTAGAGGTGGTGGGGGCAGGGAATTAGGGATGTACCTCTCTCAGAAGTAGCTAAAAATATCCCCTTCTTTCTTTCCATTCTAGGTGGGCCTCTTGTCAGCAGTCCCACACATGGTTATGACCATCGTTGTTCCTATTGGAGGACAATTGGCTGATTATTTAAGAAGCAGAAAAATTCTGACCACAACTGCTGTCAGAAAAATCATGAACTGTGGAGGTACTGTGGACTTCATGGATGGCTAAACGGCTTGTATAAAATGAGATGAAATTGAACTTCAGAGCATAGTTTGGGGGTTATTTCTAATCACTGGAAGGGGTCTTAAAGGCCCCAAAGTCCATCCCCTGGCAGATACTGAGTGTCCATCACACCCCTGCCAAGTGGTCATCCACCTGTGCTTGTGTAACCTGAGATACGACATAGTTCATCAGTCGATACACACCCGCAACTGCAGAAATCCTTCTTTCATTTTCTCTTAAGGCAAAGCACCTGATTGATTTCCTGTTCTGTATATGTTTATTGTCTATCCTTCCCATACCTCCTTCCACACACATAATCTTTTGTTTGTGTAGTTTATTCTCTTATCTCCTTCTTCCCTTTCTACATATACACATGTTTTGGTAAGAAACAGAAAAGTATTTTCTTTGAATAGTTTTCTTTCCTCCCAAGATATGCTTGTGCATGGAGTGAACACACACACACACACCATCTTCTTTTCTGCTTTATTTAGTTCCTGCTTTATATTTTGGTTTTGCAAAGACAAAGCGGAAGTTTGGTAATTTTCCAGAAGAGGTAGATGAAAGTAATTGTGAACCCCCACAGCATTCATGACTGCTCATCTTTTTCAAACCCTTCACTTTCTCCATATTTGTTTTGTTTTACTTTTAAAATTAGCATTTACTGAATGCCTTCTGTGCCAGACACTAAGCTAAGATCTTTACACACATTATCTTATTTAACCCTCATAACCACATTGTGGAGCAAGTTCTATTATTAAACTCACTTTACGGTGAGGAGACTGGGGTATGATAAAGTGACTTGCTCAGAGGCAGATCCTGTGCAAGATCCCAGCTCTGTCTGAGCTCACTGCTAATGCTCGTGGTCACTGCTGCTACCTCTCCAGGGGACTGGGGGTCAGAGTAGGCAAGAGGGAGGCGGAGGACAGTGCCTTCTGTGGGGGAAAGATCGCAACTGGGAAATTAAGTTGAAAAGGCGGGCGTGGGTTGACTGTGACTCTCCATTACATGGGTCAGGGTCACTTAGAATTGAAGACCATATGAAGGAACACAAGAGCAGGTGTGACCTGATCCCGCAGCATCTCATGAATAAAGTCTGATCAGGGAGATTGGGAATAATCTATCAGCATCTGGTCTCCCAGCGGGTTAACTGCTGGTCCAAATAGGGATGTTTGGGGCTGCCCTTGACTTGAACTTTTCTATAGAAGATGAGAGTTGGTTGGTACCGGGTTGCTCTCTAGAGGGCGAAGGGTGAAGCTCTGGGTCACTACATTCAGGATCCTCCCCAAGATAGATCATGTAGGCAGAAAAACAGCCCCTCAAAGATGTCTATGTTCTAATTCCCAGAACTTGTGAATGTGTTTCCTTACATGGCAAAAGGATCTTTGCAGATGTGATTAAATTAAGGATCTTGAGATGGGGAGATTATTTTGGATTATCTGGTCATATCCAATAAAATTACAAGGGTCCTTATAAGAAGAGGCAGGAGGGTCAGAGTCAGAGAATGAGATGTGATGGTAGAGGCAAGGGTCAGGAGTGATGCAGCCGCAAGCCAAGGAATGCAGGCAGACTCGAGAAGCTGAAAATGGCAGCTTTGCTGACACCCTTATTTTAGCTCTGTAGGACCCGTTTTGGACTTCTGATCTCCAGCACTGTACAATAATAAATTTGTGTTGTTTTAAGCCACTGAGTTTGTAGTAATTTATTACAGTAGCAATAAGAAACTAATACAGTAGCCAAAGTCTCATTCTTCTAATTATTAAATTCTTCTCCAGCTGCATAGCCCTCCACACCAAGCCCTCAATATATCTTTCTGTCTTTGACTTTGCTCACTCCCTTTCCCTTTACTGTGAGTTCTGCTCACTTTCACTTCTCATCCCAGTCCTCTCCACACGTCTTACCAGATTGGCTCAAGTCTTTCCTCTTGTGTTTTGTTAAGGCTACGTCAGCCTCCAGTGATTGCACCTTCCTATCCATACACTTCGTTGGCAACTCATCATGTACTACCTTATTATGGCTCTTGCAGAAGAGTGTTTCAGGCAGAGGGAATAGCATGTGCAGTGGCCCTGAGGCAGGCATGCATGTGACATGTTAGAAAACAGTAGGAAGTAAAGTCAGAGTGGTTGGATCTTAGTGAATGAGGTGGGGAGAGGAACATGAGATGGAATCAGAATGCTCTACTGCGCCCAGATCGTGGGAGGCCTTGTAGACATAGGCAGAGCTGGGGTTTTGTTTGAAGTGTTTTAGGAAGCAAGTGGAGGGTTTAAAGCAGGGAAAGGGATGGAATGTAGAACACAAGAGTAAAGGAAGGGAGATGGAGAGAGACTCCAGCTAGGAGGCTACTTCAATTGTTCTGTCAGGAGAAGATAGCAGTTTGAACTAAAGTAGTGTCAACGGAGGTGGGGAGGGGGATGGGTTTCTAAGTTCTCTGAGCCTAACTTTCTTCTTCTTTAAAATCTGAATAAGAACATTTACCTCAGATGATTGTTACGAGGAATAAATGAAACAACATATAAATGCATCTAGCATAGGTCCGACCTGTAAAATCTTCTTAACATATGTTAGTACCTTTCTCTTCTCCTGTGTTCAAGACACTGACAAAACAGAAGTTTTTCAGAGGAGATATTCAATAAATATCTGCTGTTCAATTTTATTTCCCATGGCCAAAAATATGCAACTTCTAAACCTCTTGAAAGAAAATTCTGGATTTAAACTCCACTTGCACAACCTCTTCTAAAGCCAGATGCCTTGAAGACTCTGAACGTGTTTTGTAGGAATGTGTTGTTCATATTTAATTTTGCCCCAATCACCTCTGCCATTGTTTCTTGATAATTGGTAGTGTTGGTGTTTGGGTGGTGGTGGTGGTGGTAAGAACGCTCAAAGATTATTAAGTGCCAGTAAAGTGCCTGTTGAGAGTAAATCTCTTTTTTGGCAGAAAGTAGAATGCATGTATACAACCTCCCCAGCCTCTCTCCCATCTTTATTTTTTTATTTATTTATTTTTTTGAGGAATATTAGCCCTGAGCTAACTGCCGCCAATCCTCCTCTTTATGCTGAGGAAGGCTGGCCCTGAGCTAACATCCATGCCCGTCTTCCTCCACTTTATATGTGAGATGCCTACCTCAGCATGGCATGCCAAACGGTGTGATGTCCACACCCGGGATCAGAACCAGTGAACCCCGGGCTGCCGAAGTGGAACATGCACACCTAACCGCTGCGCCACCGGGCTGGCCCCTCTCCCATCTTTAATAGTAATTTAAAAAACCCTCTTCATATGCCTTTTCATGTCAGTTTATATTTTGACATAGCAGGACCAGTGAGCTCTATGTAGAAAATTAAAAAACAACAACAACACAGCAACATTTTGCTTATATACAGAGACGCTAGGCTAGAGATAAACACGTGAAGACAGGGTTTGGTGCCATCACTGAATAAGTCAGATTGATATGGATATAATGAAGCACTTGCATGATCTTCCAGAGAATTTTAGTTGGGTTCATGTTTTCTAAGAAGAAATATAGAGGACATTTCTCATCTGAGAAAGATCACACATTTCGTGGAGTCTGTCACCTCCTTTTCTTTCCATAGACAAGAGACATTGCTGCTAGAATCATGCAAAGCAAACTGATCGTCTTAAGACGTGATGTTCTATTCTAGTTCATTCTGAATCAGGGCACATTTCCAAGGTCTTCAAAGGCAGATGTCAAATCCTTGTACCTCCTTCTACAATACACATAAAGTGTGACTGAGTGAAAAATTCTAGTTTGGCTGAATTGGTTGCCTATGTGAACTTCAGATTGTTTTAACATGAAATGAAAATTTTTCTCAGGTCTTTAAATGCTAATTCTGTTTCTCTTGTCAGCTCTGAACAGGTTCACTTTCAAGGATCTCTTGATCACCCTGAAGTTCAAATTTTATCCTTCAGTTCTTGAAACATACAGTCATATCTCTTGCATTTTCATTGTGGATAGGAAGCATTTAGGCTCTCAATTGCTTTTTCTTACTTTGGAAATCTACTGAATATTTGGCAAAGATTTTTTTTTTCAGCAGATGAGCTGCTGTATCATTTGTAAGTCTTATTCTTCACCCAATGTCTTCATTCTAATTCTTTGGAGGAATTAATATTCTGGTACAACCTTTGTTGAGTGTGTTACGGTAAAAGAAGTTTCAGCCAGATGCCTTGGTGTTTCAGATAGGCCACTGTGAAACACAGAGTTAGTACATAAAACACTAGCAACTTTGTCCTATGTATAATTTACAATGTTGAAACAAAATTAACAAGTAGCCATGGGAGAAAGCCCACAATTTAAAGGGCACCACTACTTCCATACTTTCATTTGATCCTTTTTAGATAACCATCTAAAAAAGTTATTGATCCTTGCCCTGTTTCTATGATAATTTTGAGGAATTGGACTCAGAAAGGTAAGTAATTTACCATGGTCTACAAAAAGTGCTTTAGTTTGTATTTCAACCTAATTATCTTGATTCTGGGTCCCATTTTCTTTCTTTTGCATTAATTCGTTAAACATTGTTTATTGAGTGCTCACTACATGCGAGCCAGGCTCTGTGCTACTACACGGTACCTTCTTGGATAACACCACAGTTTTGTGGGGGAAGCAGAAACACAAATGAAAAATTATAAGGCAATAGTGAAAAGTTTTATAAAATGAAGAAGAAGCGGGAGGAGATGTCAGCTTCACTCGTAGGTGAGGGGCAGGGTTGTTGCGAAGCTTCCTAGAGGAAGTGACATTTGAACTGGAATTTAAAGGATTTTAAAGGATAGTAAGATTTCTCCAGAAAAGGAGAAATAAGTGGTGGGAGACGAGCATCCCAGGTGAAAGAGCAGCTTGTGAACATACATTAAGGCCACGAAACAGTGTTGTGATTGGGAAATAGCTAATAGATTTGTGTGATCGCAACAGAGGGCTTTCTATGGGCTAAGGGCAGTGAGCAGGGCGGCGAGGGCTGACAGAAGATGAAGGTGGAACAGCAGGAGAGACTTACTAAATAACTATGTACTAGTAATGTGGAACCCTTGACAGAAGATTTAAGCAAAGAAGCAACTGATCAGATTAGTGGTTTAGAAAGATAGTCATGTGAAGAATGGATCAGAGGAAGAAGAGATGGGAAGACCAATAAAGAAGCTATTGAAGTTGCCCAAGTGAGAGGTCATGGGGCCCAGGACCAAGACAGTGGCAGAGGAGGGGAAAGCAGAGGTCGGATTTGACAGGTGTTTCTGAGGTCTAACCCACAGATTCTTATGTGAAAACTGAGGAAGAGGCAGAAGTCCAAGGTGATCCCGAGATTTCTGTGTTGAACTTTGGGTTCCATTTGTTGAGCTGTGTCCATGTGCTGGTGATTGTGCTCAACACCTTATATACCTAATTTCATTTAATCTTGCGGTGCTATGAGGTTATATTATTAGCTCCATTTTTGGGCATGAGGAATCTAAGAGGTGAAGTTACTTGTGCAAGGTCACACAATTAGTGATTTTTGAGGTGGAATCTGGACCCAGGCCTATCTGACTCTAAAGTCTAGGTTCTAAGCACAGGTGAATAGGAGATTCACTTAGAGAAGACGACAGAGCATGGTGGTGGTGATGTGGCAGTTGTTTGCTTTGTTTGTTTAGCAGTAAAAAAATAGGGAAATAGAGACTTGATCTGGGCGTGTTGTCTTTGAGGTAACTTTAGGACAATCGTGTGGAGATGTCTGAAATCAGCAGACATTTCCAGTATGAAGCATCATTTCATTGTCTTCCGCCTCCCAGGGTACATTATATACCTGGAAATCGTATTTAAATCATCTTTATTTCTGCTGTTGACCAAACTTGTGTGTGTGTGTGTGTGTGTTTTGATGATAAAGAACATCTTCATAATTTCCTCATCCTTTTTTATTGTGCTAGATTCATTTGTTATGAACAGAAAGTACTTTTGTCCTGATGTGTTTTCTTTGCAAATATCTCTTGGCTTTTATAAAGAGGCCTGAGAGCTTGGTGAACTGCTGAAAGGAAAGGATTTTGCCTTATGTTTTATAAGCAGTAAGGCTCTGCTTTTTGTTTCAGGTATTCACTACAGCTTTCTGGTCACTTTTGGCAATAAATATTAGAATGCTGTCATTTTATTTTTCTGTGAGAGAGAACTTACGTAATCAAAGGAGAATAATTGACAGTTTTAGTATTTAGAAATGGCAGTGGGAACTACCCATGAAGTAGTGGATAATAGATATCCTTCATCCCAGAGGCATCATTGGGACCTGCTGGGAACATTCAGGCTTCAAGATGCACCAGGATAATGCTGGAAGGCTCACAGAACACCCAGGTAACATTAGCATAGTCATGTAGTCAAGAAACACTCAGGTAATGTAAACACTATACCAGGATGTATGTACTAAAAACTTAGGTCTGTGGAAATAGAAATAGATTCTTATTTGATAAATTCACAAACTTGAGCTGACCGACATGAAAATGACCTTTTTTTCCTGCTGTTTCCATTCACAGGTTTTGGCATGGAGGCAACCTTACTCCTGGTGGTTGGCTTTTCCCATACCAAAGGGGTGGCTATCTCCTTTCTGGTGCTTGCTGTAGGTTTTAGTGGCTTTGCTATTTCAGGTAAAGTGTCCTTTGGTTTTCCAAATCTTTTCAATAGATTCAGCAAGTCTTGGGAGGAAGGAAGGACAGGCTATAGTAGCACCTTCCTTTAGTAGCCAGGCCATTCCCAAGAAGCAGAGCCATTAGCTAGAGACTTTCATTGAGTGGCCATAACTTTGTTAAGATTATTGAGCACTGGGCTTAGGAGCCCAGTGAAGCTGGGATTGTCCCTACTTATCCATCTTGGAAAAGACACAAGGTGCAGGTGACCCCCCACCCCCCACCCCAAGGCATGGGCAGAGATCCAAACCTGTGTCCTGGGTGAAGTGGCACTTTCGTACTTCAGCACCAGGTCACCCTACCTAACAGAGGCTCTTGACATTCTCGATCCTCACCTCCTGTACAGAACTACTAGTATTAGCTCAAAAGTCAAATGATGTGGTCATTTGATAGAAAGTCATAGAATCCAAAGTTTTTAGAGTGGAAAACTTCTTTAGATTTTGTCTACTCCATGGCTTTCATTTTCCAAACAAGGACATGCAGGTCCAGAAAGGGAATGTGGCTTTCTGAATAGGGTAGAGCAAGAAGTAAGAATAATAATGACGATGGTGGGGTCGGCCCGGTGATGCAGCGGTTAAGTGTGCACATTCCGCTTTGGCAGCCCAGGGTCCACCAGTTCGGATCCCAGGTGCGGACATGGCACAGCTCATCAAGCCGTACTGTGGTAAGCATCCCACATATAAAGTAGAGGAAGATGGGCACAGATGTTAGCTCAGGGCCAGTCTTCCTCAGCAAAAAGAGGAGGAGGAGGATTGGTAGCAGATGTTAGCTCAGGGCTGATCATCCTCAAGAAAAAAAAAATGATTATGGTGAGAGCTAATGTTGATGAAGCCCAGACTCTGTGCCAGGGACTATTCAGAGCCCTCTATGTGTATAACCCGGGTAATTCTCACAGCGACCCTCGAGGGAATCAGTGGTATCAGTCTCCCATTTGACAGGAGCAGAAACCAGTCTGCTGTGTGTGAAAGGCCGGAGTGCTATCATATCATGTCTTATAAACTTCAGAAGCTCCTTATGCAAATCTGGATGAAAAAGTAAACTTCTATTGTTTTTCTACTTTTAAAGCATAATGTGATGCTAAAAACGATCACTTACAGAACATTTGACATATATTGCATCTATCTCATGACATTGTGAAGCAAGTAGTAATGCCATTATTTTACTGATTAAGAATCTAAAAACTCAGAAAAATTGGGCACTTTCTTTCTTTTTTTTTTCTAAAGATTGGCACCTGGGCTAACAACTGTTGCCAATCTTTTTTTTTTCTGCTTTATCTCCCCACCCCCACATCCCCCGTACATAGTTGTATATCTTAGTTGCAGGTCCTTCCAGTTGTGGGATATGGGACGCCGCCTCAACGTGGCCTGACAAGCGGTGCCATGTCTGCGCCCAGGATCCAAACCCTGGGCTGCCGCAGCGGAGCGTGCAAACTTAACCACTTGGCCACGGAGCCGGCCCCTGGGTGCTTTCTTAATGTCACACAATTGGTGGCAAAGGCAGAACTAAAGTGCAGCTCTGCTGGCTCCAAGCGTGCACTTTTTCCACCGTTCCGGGCTGTCTTAAAGATCAGAGTGGTAACGTCCCAGAGCAGAAAAATGTGGAATCTCTGGTCTAAACTACCAGCAAACAGGGACTTGATCTTATCAAAATCAATCAAACTGATGAATCATTAAATTAGGAAAAATATGTCTACTTTAAAAGTACCTTGGAACTAAGAACTTGCGTTTGGAGGTGCATAAACCTGGCTTTGAGACCCCTCTTTTTACTACCTACTATTCATAAAAGAAAAAATTCGCTTAGTTATAAATCCTCAAGCCTCAGTTTCCTCAACTAGAGATTGGAGAGATGGGACGGTAGCCTTGTAGGATTGTTGGAAGAGCTCAATGAACTGAGATAATTCATACATTCACTCACACTTCCCATGAGCCATGCACTGTTCTTGGCACAAGAGACACTACAGTGAAAAAAATCAAAGATTCTGTCCTTATAAAGTTTACATTCTAGTGGAAATAAAGCATTTGAAGCCCTTAGCCCAGTGCCAGATGCATAACAAAATTAATAAGTATTCACTTTTATTGTTCAATTATTCACTCTGGACCAGTGCTTTTCAAATTTTAATGTGTACACAAATCACCCCAGGATCTTGCAAAATGCTGATACTGATTGAGCAGGTCCAGAGTGGGGCCTGACACTCTGCATTTCCAACAAGCTTCCCAGTGATGCTGCTGCTGCTGCTCAGTTGTCCACATCTTGAGTAGCAAGGATAGAGCAATCACTACCTGCTTCCATTAGGATGTTGAAGAATACCTCCCTTTGATAGCTCTGTGACGCAAAAGAGATTCATATCCTGTCCCCAGAGATATGAAATGTTCAGGTTCATATTGCCTCCAGATTGCCAATTACACTGCAATCAGAAGAGGAGAAACCCAACACCCCAAATCACAGCAGCTGCCATTATTTTTTTAGCTCTTACTCCATGGTAGCCATTTTTAAGACATGATCTCATTTAATCCCTGTAGCAACCCTATGAGAAGGGTATTGTTATGTCCATTTTACCAGTGAGGAAACTGAGGTTTGGAAGGTGACTAAACTTACCCAGGTAAGTTAAGAGGCTGGGGTTGGAATAAAGCTTTGTCTAACCCAACAGTGACACTGTGGGAGGGACTGTGACCATGGGGGTGATAATTCCTCAGGATCTACTATCTGCCAGTTTTGCAAGGAGTTCATAGAGATAACTTCCTATTGTTCCAGGGAAGGCTGGCACGATTTAGGAACTGATTACAGAAAGAGAGCCAAGACAGGTGTGATTAGAAACATACAAGTGATGGGTGATGCCAGTTTTGAGAACTGTCCTGTGGAGAGAAGACAGACTCTCCCAGCTTGTATACAACTTTTTTTTGTGTGTGTCTGCTACCAAAAAAACTATTAATATCTCAGTTTCTCAATGATTTTTCCCCCTGAACATTAAGATTGTGCAGCTAGAAACCTACATGGCTTTTCTCACATTATCTTTAGCTGAACACAGATGCCTAGGTTTTGTATCAGAATATAATACTTGGCAATCATATTAATTGCTTCTTATCTCTGGGTTCTTTTCTAATAAAGTGTTTATCACATTCAAATCATCAGTAAGATTAATTAATCTTCCAGCTGTTTTATATTCTGATTGCCTGCCACTTTGATCTGAAAGAGAAGGTATGCTTATTACAAAACGGTTTTCTCAAAATTCTCTTTGAATGGAGGTAGGAAAAACAACCAGCCAATGTGCCAGGTTAAAAAAAAAATAATTTTTTAATCCTATTTTTAGGTTCTTTGCACAGAATAGAGAATTAAAAAGCAAGGCAAAGGAAAACAAAAATATCAATAAACAAAGTCTACAACCCCCTGCTGTAATTTCATAGCTCAAATTAGTGATTAACTAAACAATTATTCTTCGGGTGCCTACTATGTGCCGGACACTTTGCCAATTCAGGGAAGGTGGTGGTAAAGAGGACAGATGGCTAACACCAGTAAAGAACATACATGTTAGTTTTCACCTCTATGTGCTGTGTAATTAACATACAGTATTTAACTTAATTCTTCCAACAATTTTATAAGAATGATTATCCCAGTTTCTAGAAGAAAAAAGCAGAGGTTCAGAAAATTTGCATCTTAATTAAGCTGCCAGGGGCAGGCCTGTCTGACTCTAAATTGGGCAATATGGGTAGAGTTGATTCCCAGTGCCTGAAGCCTCCTCTTTCGTAGTCTTGTTCTTTGCCTGACATCACTCCACCCCCTTCATTCCACTTACTCTTTTTTTCCTGATAAACAGATTAATAGTAAGGTGTTGACAACTTATTATTTTTTCACTCCCAGCAGCATTATCTTTTATGGAAGACCTCAAAGAGAGGGACATGCCTAGCCGCAGGGGCAGCAGCAGAAGCATATTCGTGGTGGGAGAAGAGATAGCAGAGTTTAGCTGCTTGCTAAGGGCTCTCGCGTACATTTTTCCCCTGAGTCTCGTCTCACAGCATCTTTATAAGTTGAGTAGTAATATTACCCCCATATTAGAGATGAGAGAACAAAGTCCTAAAAATTACTTAAGTGGTGGAAATAAGATGTGAATCCAGATTTACAGACTTCAAATGAATCATGTATGTGAAAGTGTTTTGTAAATTACAGAGGATACTGCCAATGTCTGTGCAAATGTTTATTGTCAGAAAATCACCCTTTCCATTATTCCATGTGGCCACTAAATCTGGCTTACCTATGGTGTTTTTTTGGGAGTGAGTCAAGGGCTAGGAAGGAGGGTATTATGAGGCGGGGTTTGGTTCTAATCACACTATATGTGATTGTGTGATTGTTTGCTCTGAATAAAAGTGATCCAAGCTTTCTGCTTTCCAGTATTGCCCAAAACACCATTTATTTTGGAGGTCTGAACCTATAAGGCACAGATGCCATAATTCTCCCCATGGAAAGCCCATCTCAGACATTGCTAATCAATCAAAGCATGTTTTTCTGCTCTGTGCAGGTATAGCCTGACAATTCTCAATCCAGCCCTCATGGTAGAGGTATCCATTAATCAGATGCAAGAAGAAACGGCACAGATGGAGGAGAGTTGGGGGAAGCTAAGTATTTTCCTTAATGTGTTTGGAAGTCTGTTTTTGACTCTGATTTTAAGATTTTGGCTTCACTGTAGGTTTTAACGTCAACCACCTGGACATTGCCCCCCGCTATGCCAGCATTCTCATGGGCATTTCAAACGGAGTAGGAACCCTCTCTGGAATGGTCTGTCCCCTCATTGTTGGTGCAATGACAAAGCACAAGGTAATGGTCTCCTTGGGTCTGTGGGTCATGGTATCAGGGGACTGAAGTCCTGCACACACTTGAGATCTCAAGGCCCTGCCTCAGCCTGTAAACGTGTATGTCCTTAACCTTGGTTGAGTCATTTGAACTTATTTTTTTATTTTCTTTCTTCTTCTTTTAAAAAAAATAATTGTTAATTGATGGCAAGGGGGCTGATTGATGTTTCCTTCCATGTTTATTCAATTGGAAAATAAAAGATTGGTGTGTTGGGGAACCAACACCATAAAGACTGTTTAGAGACACAGAGAAGAAACTGAGGCTATCAACTCAGGATAAATAGATTACCCAAGATTGTTTTATAATTCTAAATAATTAAACTTTATAGTCCTTTTCCATCCATTGCTTAGCATGTTCCAGTATAAAAATATTAGTGCTGTTACACTTCCTTATTATGAAGAAAATAAACAAGACATTAATGACCCTTCCTGAGAACATACAAGGCTGTGGCACTCGGTCGTTACTGAACCTTTGTGTGTTTAGACGAGGCTGGGTGGTGGAGGAGGATCCCAACCATCCAGAGTTCCACCACAGACCACGTGATTTCTTAATCTCTGTCACTGAAAAGTTTTCAGAATGCTTCTTTCTGCAAATAAGAATTTTTTGGTATTACGGATTTTTTACCCAACTATTTTTTTTAGTTGGATTGCCTATTACAAATATGACTTCAGAAATTCTTCCAGCATCTTGGAGAAGAAAGTATAGGGTAATTTTTCTTATTTTTGGATAGAAAAGGAAGGTGGGATTTGGGGATTTTATAGGCAGAAGATCCACATTTTCCCTCTCTGTTCATGAGATGGTAGGATTGGTAACATGAATATTAAATCTCAGGTACTACTTCCCCTAACTTTAAACATAAATCCCCATTATTTTTTATACTGTATTTTGCACAGAAAATGTGATTATAAATAAGCTATTGACAGTCAAGAGTGAGCTTTTTTGTGGTTCAAATTGTTATGTAACCAACACAAGCAAGAAGGAGACCTCTGATATTTAAAATGGGGGGTTCCTAAAGCAGTTTTCATTTAACCTGCTATGTGAATGGACACCCCCTTTGTATATTTAGAAGAGCTGTGAAGTGGCGATGCACATATTTTACATGATGTTTATTTTGTAAGGTATTTTTATAAATTAAAAAATGCATATTCATTGTAGTCTTAACTTTCAGTTTTTAAACACTCAAATTGGATCCCGTTGGATCCTGGGCATGCTTCTGACACATGTCTTTCCAAGAGACACAGCATTGCCTTTGGGGTGACCAGGTGCTTTTGTCCCAGTGGAGGCCTCCGGAACATTCTGTTAATCTTTGTTTTTGGTGAAAATATTAATTGGTACTGTGTTTCTTTGTTCAGACCCGTGAGGAATGGCAGAATGTGTTCCTCATAGCTGCCCTAGTGCACTACAGTGGCGTGATCTTCTACGGGGTCTTTGCTTCTGGGGAGAAACAGGAGTGGGCTGATCCTGAGAACCTCTCTGAGGAGAAGTGTGGAATCATTGACCAAGATGAATTAGCTGAAGAGACAGAACTCAACCACGAGAGTTTTGCAAGTCCCAAAAAGAAGAAGTCCTATGGAGCTACTACTCAGAATTGTGAAGTCCAGAAGAAGGAATGGAGGGGACAGAGAGGAGTGACCCTTGATGAGGAAGAGGTGATATCTTACCAGAATGAAGAAGGAAACTTCTCAGATACATCCTAATGTCTGAGGGGCACTTCTTTCTTCTCACCTTGGAACCAGAAAGTATCCATATCTATTGCCTTCCCCATGGCCAAGCTAGCTAGATAGTCAAATATGGGGACAACTAGAGGTGGGGGAAGGGGAAGAAGAGATTTCATCAGCAAGAGGGAAAAGAGAACTATTTTCTTACAGTGATGCCTATGGGTATGGAGCTTGCTCTAATTTGACAAAATGGGTACAGATATAATTTTGTTTTGATTGGCGGCTGATTCTTCTCTCAAAGAACTGAACTTATTCAAAAAGGAATGACTAGAAGAATAAGAGAGACAATACCCAGCTTTTCAAAGAAAAATGGAAGGGAATGGAGATGTTTGTCCTGGAGGAGAGAAAACAATAGCTGCCATGCAGAGGAGGGTTTCCTTCCTAGTAGAGTCTACTGCTCATGAAGGGCCTGTGTTGTGACAGGTGCTTTATAAACATTCTCATTTAATCTCCACACCCCTGTTACATCCATTTCTTATGCCCATTTTACAACTAAGGAAACTAAAGCAACAAGAGATTGACTTGCCCGAGGTCATCCTGTCAGGGCCAGTGCTAAGACTGGTGGGGTCCAAAATAAGCGGCGGTTTTGGAGAAGAAGGTTTTATTTTACCTCAGGGTAGGGAAGACGTTTTTAATAATGAAAATTGAAAGTAGAGTGGGTTGTCTTGTGGACAATACCGTATTTTGACAGGCATGGGGGATGGGAAACATTTGAGTTGAAGTGGCAGAAAGCATTCAAACATGGTATGAGGGGCTGGATTCAAAGACCCTTAGGGGCCTCTATGATCTGAGAGTCAAATGATTCTGTGAATTCATAGTTTTAAAATAATAAGGGTCACAGGGGCCGGCCTGCTGGTACAGCGGTTAAGTTTGCAGTTCCGCTTCGCCGCCGCCCGGCGTTCGCCAGCTTGGATCTCGGGTGTGGACATGGCACCTCTTGGCAAAAGCCATGCTGTGGTAGGTGTCCCACGTATAAAGTAGAGGAAGATGGGCATGGATGTTAACTCAGGGCCAGTCTTCCTCAGCAAAAAGAGGAGGATTGGCAGTAGTTAGCTCAGGGCTAATCTTCCTCAAGAAAAAAAAAAATAATAATAAGGGTCACAGACTGTATAAGAGATTCAAATAAGTTTAAAAAAGAGAAAGACAGAAAGAGAAAGCTAAGCAAGCTAGCAAATTTCCAGGAATCTGATGGACAAAATAGCTGAGAAGTAAACAAGGGCTTGGCTGTTGAATGTTAATCCTTAATAATGTCAAGAATGTGGTTAAATAATGTCTCAAACTACTTATAAATCTTTAGGACACTTAGTAATTTAAGAAATCAGTTCATGTGTTTTATTAGGGAAAATTCTCCTGAAAGAGCCTTCTGTTAATAAAGAGTATGTATTAGCCATTTCTGCTGGTGACGTTAGGAAATTTGAACAAATCATACAAAATTATGTTTGAAGTATTCCTAATGACTGTATTTGGAACGATATTCAGGGAAACCACAATAATATAGCAGTAGTTATACAGAGAAATACTAGAATGAAAACATCTGGGACAACTAGACCCATAGTTAGTGTTGAAAAATTCATCTTCGATTGCATAAGGCAATAACATGGATACTCTCTAGATACATTTTAAAATTTAATGTTGGCATGTTTAAAATATTGGCATTTTAAAATCTAAGGTTGTTTGAAAGTAAAATTATTTTCCTGGTCATTGTTTTTGAAAATTTTATTTCTACTTTCAGAAGAAAAATATAATATTGCTGAAAGGAATTATAGATTTACTTGTAGTTTATTACTGTAAAGTGTTTTTAAAATAATTTCTCCCATATATACATATATGGTCCCTTACTGTACCAGCATAGCTGTAGTGTATTTTATAAAAAGAATTTTGAGAAAAAAAGAATTGCCTGACTCTCCATTAAATGATATTCTTTATGTCATTGCTATATAACTTATGTTATCATATATCTTTAAATTTCCTTAATGAGTGAATCCATATAAGTCCCTTAGAACAGTTCCTGGCATGTAGAAAGGGCTTAGTAAACATTAGCTATGTTTATTATCTTTCAACCTTTATCATCTTTCAACCTTTTGGAGAACTTTTCAGTTGAAAAGAAAGCATGCTATGTCATTTTCATGCATTAGTCAATTATTGTGAAAGTTGTGCTGTTTTCTAAGTAAAAAAAAAAGTGAGAAATTTATGGGAGCCAGTATTTTATTTTTTCTTGTGTTAATAAGTCAAATAACTATAAAAAATAAACTCATGATAATCCTTAAGGTAATATTGTAGATTGTGGCGCAAAGTTGTATTTACTCCATTGTTTAAAGTCAGAATCATATGCTGAAACTCCACATTTTGATAAATCAAAGCATTTAGGATGTCTGTAAATTGCCATTATAGTATTAAAAAGAAAAAATAGGGGGCCTGGCCTGTGGCTGAATGGTTAAGGTTCTGTGCTCCCCGCTTTGGCAGCCTGGGTTTGGGGGTTCAGATCCTGGTTGCGGACCTACTCCACTCATCATCTATGCTGTGGAGGCATCCCACATACAAAGTAGAGGAAGACTGGCATGAATGTTAGCTCAGGGCTAATCTTCCTCAAGCAAAAAAAAAAGAAAAGAAAAAGAGAGGAAGATTGGCAATGGATGTTACCTCAGAGCGAATCTTCCTTGCAAAAAAAGAAAAGAAAAGAAAAGAAAAGAAAAAAAGTAGAACCCTGGATCATGGTATTAAAAACTAGAAAACACTTTATTTTGTTGTGACAGGTTTTGCTCTGTGAAGGTTCCAGTGAACACATAATTACATTTGAACGCCAGGCAGGTGTATTTTGCAAGTCATTGTACATTTTGCTGCAAATATCCATTTGAAGATCAACTCTTGGAGGCAAACTGTGGATTCTAGCAGAAAGGGAAAGAGGCCTGAGGGTGCTGGATTCTTGAGACAAGAAAGGTTTGACTGGTTCTTTCCAAGGAATGAAAGTTTTGGAGACTCCTGAATATAACAAGAAAAAAAATAATTACTCAAGAAATAATGACACACTTATTATCCCTGCCTGGATGTTAAATTTAACAGGTGAAAATTGGAACCTACTATTTCTATTTCACACTGTCTCCTCCTAACCCCAACAAACCTGTTCTTCCTTCTCTGTTTCTTATTTCTGTTAATTACCACACCCTTTTGCTGGAGCTAGAAATCTTTTTATTTTATTTATTTATTTTTTTAAGTATTTGCCATTGGGTTTTCATTTGGAGCTAGAAATCTTGGAGCCATCTTTTACTTTTAAAAACAGTAGCCCTCTCTCTCTTCCCTGCCAAGTCCATTTAACTTTATTTTCAATCTGTGGCTCAATGTCTTATGTCAGTTTTGGAAAATTCTCAGCCATTATCTCCTACAATATCGCTCTTGCTCCTCCCCTTCTCTATGTTCTTTCTAGGAGTCGAGTTAAGTGGATGTTGGACTAGATCTCGGACCATCTCTTCTGTATTTTCCAGCCTTACCTCTTTCTGTGTCATTCTGGATATCTTCTTCTGATTTATTTTTAAGTTCTTTATTTCTCTCTTCAGCAAGGTCTAATCTGGTGAAAATCCATCCATTGTGTTCTTAATTTCAGTTATTGTATTTTAGAACTTTTGTTTTTTTTTCAATTCTGCTATGTCTTTTAAAAATATTTCCAGTTCTCTGCTGAAATTTTCAGTCTTATACTTTATTTCCTGGAACATAGTAAGCTAATTATTTTAATGTCTGGTCGGTGCCAGTATCTAAGACCATGTAATTCTGTTTCTATTTTCTGTTGGTTTTGCTGATTTTTGTTCATATTATCTTTTCTCAGTCTGTGCTTGGTTTTCTTTGATTGTGTCCCAAATTGCATTTGAGAAATTGTTTGTTGAAATGGTTTTAGGCTTAAAATAATGATTTTTTTCTCTCTCCAGAGAGGATTTTTGTTTGCTTCTTCCAGGACCCTGAAGGCATAAGCAATCTGGGATCTCTTTAACCCAATTGCAAGGTCTGAGATATTCTGGGTCACCCAGGTGATTTGAAGCTGGGCTACAGGCAGTGTGCAGGCTCTTTTGCTTTCAATTCCCCCTTATCCCTATGTACAGCACTTCCTGGTATCAACCCACAGTACCGTGCTTTCACCAGCATCCAACCTTTGTCTCTATACCAGGCCATCAAACTGCTCGGCTATCAAACACTGGCTTTGTTATAATTAACAAGTACTCCCAGGAGAAAAGTGGCCTCAAATGTCAGTCTCACTTCTCTGGATTTTCATCTTTTCCCGGATGGCCAGATGGTAGCCAAGTAATTTGTCACTGCCATGCTGGCTCTCAATGCTTTCGAGCAGACATTTAAAAGAAAAAAATTTGTTTGGCTTTTCTGGCATGAAGGTTGGTCTGAATTACCTAGTCTGCCATTAAAGGATGCTGAAATTCCTTTCAATTTTATCTTCACAAGTTCTCTAAAACTGATTTATTTCTCTAGAAATAGTGTGGTAATAAAGTAACCCCCAAATCTCAGTGGCTTAGTACAACAAATGCTTATTTCTCTCTTATGTTACTGGTCAAGTGTGGACTGAGTTGAGTAGAGTGGAGGCTTGTTCCTGACAGTCACTCAGGTGTCCAGGATTTATTTTTTCTTCACTCACAATTTGAAACATAACCTTTGATATCACCATGGAAGGAGGAGGGAGGAGGCACATTGGCTTTTCACTGCCTCACTTGGAAATGACATTTGTCATTTTTGCTCCTAGTCCATCGACCTACACTAGCCATATAACCCCAACCTAACTGCAGAGGTGGCTGGGGAATAAAGGGGAGCGCGTGGATTACTGAGTGAGCACTAATTACGTCTGCCACTCAGCTCTAGCCTAGGTTGAATGTCTTATGAACTCTTACTTGACATGTTGAAATCCTCTCCTAACTCCACATGCCATAAATGACACGACTGTGCTATGTGGCGTTCTGGGGGATCTGAACTAGGTTACAGGGAGCAAATCTCATATGGGAGGGAGCTTTGAGTCCCCTCCAGGAGATACCACAAAGATATCAATTCATTAGAGTAGCATAGATTCTGGCCTGATTCAGACTTCAGTTGATAACCACACGGACCAATTAGAAGGGCCAGGAGAGCTGAACCTTTCTTTAGATTTCATGTATTACTGCATCCCATACCTAATGCTAAGCCCTTTCCATAGACGATTTCACTTAATTCTCATGGCAACCCAGTGAGCAAGTTTCAACTATTTAGTCTCAAGTATTTATTAATAAATAAATGGTGCTTCAGAGCAGAATTTAAAATCAAGACTCTAATGGCCATATTTTAATTTTAATTCTTAATTAAAGCTTGATCTTATTTCTTAATTTTTAATCTGTTCTCCACTGCTTCTCTTGGCTGCAGTAATTCCAGACAATGGTGATTCTCAGAGTCAAGAGAATGTCCCAGTAATTTCAGTAATGTGTCAGCAGACTGATGGAATGTGCCCTGGTGGTTTAGTCCAGACACCAGCGCAAGGACAGCTGAAAAACCAGATTGGTGAGATCCCTCTTCTCACCAGCTGATGCACTGGAGTGAGAAGAACCAGGGCCCCTGTAGTTTCCCTATTTCCCTTGTTATACAGATAGGAAGATAGGAAGGCTGAACCCAATGCTTACTCTGTGTGTGTGTGTTGGGGAGTGGAGGGGTTTGCCAGAGGACTGAATTTCTCCTTGGTAAATATTTGTTGAATGAATGAATGAATGAATGAACATTACTAAACAGGGAAATTAATTAAAAATTTGCATACTGAACACTAAAACCTTTCAGTCGCCTTCATGGGCTGAGCTTCCAAAATGCTGGCAGTCAGGCTCATGTCCCCTAGGCAAGATATTGGAGGATTCACAGGGTCAGAGGTGGGAACTTACTTACTAATAGAAAGGTTTACAGCCATTGACATTTGGTAGTTTCTCCATCAAAATAAGTGGATCCCTGCTCAGTCACTCCCTGTGGAGGCCACCTACCAAGCCTTGCCTGTGGGAATAGAAGTTCTGTTATTCATTCACTCTACAATTATTTAGTACCTATAATGAGCACCTCAATTATTGAGGACTTATAAAGGTCTAGGCATTAGGATAGAAAATAAGTGAGCAAAATAAGTCTCTGCTCTCATGGGGCTTACATTCCAGAAAGTGACGCAAAAAACAAGCAGGTTGATGAGTAAACCCAGTACATAGTATGTTGGAGGGTGATAAGTGCCGAGAAAACATAAAACGGGGTAAGGGGGATAGGGAGTATGAGGCTGGAGTTTTATGTTGAGTGTTCAGGGATAAAGTGAACTTTGAGCAGAGAACTGAAGGCAGTGACAGAGCAAGTCAGGAGCATATTTAGGTAAAGGATTCCAGGAATAGGAAAAAGCAAATACAAAGGCTGTGCGTGTGAACACCCTTGATATATTTAAAGAACACCAAGTCCCTTAAAGCAGTCAGGTTCTGGACCTATTTCGAAGGAAGATGGAACATTTACTGAGAGGTAGAAGATTGGGAAAGATCAAGATATGTAGGAGAAGGAATTAGAAGTTTTGGACACTTTTAATTTTGGAGTTTTACTTGCCTAATGAAATCTACAATATCAGGTGGGTGTGGAAGTATAGTCTGGGATTCCGGGCAGAGGTCAGAGCTGAAGCTGTACATCGGTGAGTCAGCATCACATCACACAGATGGTAGTTAAAGCCATGGGACTAGATGAGATCATCAAGATTTGAATATGATTGAGCCCCAGGGGGCTTTCTACTATAAAGATATTAGGAAGATGAGAAGAAATCAGCAGAAGAGACATTATCAGTTATGTCAAAGCTGCTTGTAGGTCAAGTAAGATGACAACTGAGAATGGACCATTGGATTTGGCAACATGAAGGTCACTGGTGACCTCGACAAGAACAGTTTCAATGTAGTAGTGATGACAAAACCCTGCATGGAGTGTGTTCAATAAAGAGTGGGCTTATTATTGTCTTCCTCTTACATACGAATAGACAGCCAAGGATTGCTGAGAGCTCAGGAGTTTCCAACACGAAAGACAGAGATCAACACAGACAGGAAGGAAAGTGCTTGGAGGAAACCAGAAAATGCAGAGAATAGAACAAACTTTAATCTAAAAAATAAGAGAAGATACTGCATACATAACTAAAATAGAATTCTATTTTTAGAAAAGGAATGAATATCCAGAGAAGCAGAT